ATGCCAGGCTATACATAGTTCAGGTGACTTCAGTCTCCAATTCTCCATGTTAGTTTCATGAAGATTGCAGTTTATAATTGGTTAGCCAGCACCAGAGTGGTTAGTCCCGAAAACACAGTACACGTGACATTATACAGACTGAACAGGTATGGTTATATTAATGGATATACACACACCACACCACCACCACCAACAACAACAACAGATAGTGAAAAAGAGGCCACAGATTTGAAAGAGAGAAAAGATTGGTGTCTGGGAGGACTTGAAGGGAAGAAAGAGAAAGGGATAATGTGGTAATGATAATCATTTCAAAAATAAAAGAAGGATACTATGGTTTATAAATATTGTCGTAAGTACTTATTAATTGAACTTAATGGAAATAGAGGTATCTTTCCCTGTTTTATATTATGAGTTTTCAATCATGTCTGATAAGATTATTTTGAAATGTTAGTTGTGGGAAATATAAACATTTAAGCTAGTTGTGAGGTTACTAAAATTCATTTGATATTTATTTTTTATTTTATTTTTGTTGAATGGCTGTTGGTTAACTTCCCGTTGCTGTAACAGATTACTTGAAATCATTAATGGAGTTTAATTCTCCTTAGGTTCCCAGCTTCAGAACTTGCAGCTGTGCTCATGTGCACCTTTTATGTTATTGGAGATTGTAGTAGATAAGACCTGTTCACCTTAGGTTGGGAAACAAAGAGATGGACAGACCAAAGCTGGCCAGGCTACCCCAGTAGCTTCTTCAGTGACACTCTTACAGCGACATACCTTTTTACAAGGCCACATTCCCTCACAGTTCCTGTGTTTCACAACAGGGCCACTGTTGGCAACCATGGCTTCAGCACATGGATCCAGGAATAAGCTTCCTGTCCAAATTACAGAGATGTTCATGCAACTCTACGACTCATTAACTCAGTCACTTCAGATGCTGTCTACTTACTCGTCTACTTAATGAGTTGTCTACTTAATGAGTTTTGTGTAACATGTATATGTGTGAATATATAAGGCCAGAAGCTGATAGGAAGTTATTTTGTTACCTTCCAATTCATTTTTTTGAGATTATGTCTCTCACTGAGGTTGGAGTCCACCAATCAATCAGACTGGTAAGTGAGTTCTAGGAATCCCATCTCCAAACTCTGCCCCACCCCCAACTGTAGGGTTGTAGAGTTTCACCACCATCCCCAGTTCCTAACAGGACAGCTGGGCATCTGGTCCTCATGTTTGCGCAGGGCACCTCTTCAGTGAGCCATCCAATACCTACACACTATGGTTCCTTGTAATCAAAAGGAATGTGATTTAGCAATAAATAAACACACACACACACACACACACACACATACCAGCAACAACAACAACAGAGCAACAACAATTAAAGAAAAAGAAATCACAAATTTGGACAAAAACAAGGGGATGTACATGGGAAGGCCCGGGCGAGGAAAGGAAAAGGGGAAAAGGTGTAACTATAGTTTAACCTCCAAAACCAAAAAAGGTAAAAGCTAAAGGACTGTCAGTTACTTCAGTACGTTGACAGATTGTGTGTTTTGACTCGGCTTTCATAGGTGCAGAGCCTGGTCCTTGTTGACATCAGATGTGGGCAGGCAGCTTGGAGAAGCATTTAGGAGGCAGTGAAGGTGTAGGGGGGCTCCGTGCAATCAGATTGTTCAGACCAACTTGCTCTCTCAGAGGAGAGACGTACATCACAGCCAGGTCATAGTCACAGAGGTGAAGGTCGATGGCCTGGAAGCACATGCATTTCATGGGCAGCGCCGGGTCCTGATTAGCTTATAGTGATGTGTCCGCGGGTCTGGGGATGCTGACTGTAGAGAACTGACTGCATCTTCAGGGTTGCTGCTTCTCTGTGTTTGGTATAGGTGAAACGAGATTGCTTATAAGGCCACAATACACAGATAAAAGTAAAGGTAGGGCTTTCCTCCAAATCTCCACAACCATGAACCATTTGTATTGCATCTTTTCATTTGTAGAGCCTTTCTCCTCTACAGATAGGAGGTGTTTATCCCTTATTGGCTTGCTTCCAGAAGATTTGTAGTCAATGCTCCCCTTTAGATTAAAAAACAACTGAAAATAAGTTAAGGATCATCAGTGTCCATCTTATAACTCAGGAAGTACTACCCAGGGACAAGCCATGTCTTTCTTGCTGCTTTTTCAGGGCAGCAGAGTAGAGGTAGGGATGATGACAGGGCTCACAAAGACTCTAGTGATGTTCCTAGGAGACATCATCTCCTCTCTGTCCCTTTTATCACTTGCCAAGTAGCTCTACTATATAAATTTGTTATCTTGGAGGTGGTGGGAAGGGAGCCATAGTCCTCAGGCGCTTTGTAAAGAAGCAGATACTGACATTGGCTGGCAGTGTCTCGAGGGAGTTGGGATGAGTTGAAAGGCTAGCAATGGGTGAGAAGCAGAAAAAACAGAGTTTAGACATTTGAATTTGTTTGGGGTGATGTGGATGGTCATTTTGAGATGTGTGCCTTCCTTTATGGAAAAGGAAACCTGGAAGCAGAGACTGTGTAGTGAGTGATCTCGGCACTCCTCTCATCCCTGCTTCAAATAGAGAAAGGGCTCTGGATTCTTCTTCTCAGGCATCGTGCCCAAACCTTCAGAGTATCAAATGGGCACCACTATCTGCATTCGTCAGTGGCCCTGGAATTTGTCACTTTTTCTTTGGGTCTGGAGCTGTTTTTCTGTAAAGTCCCCTTAGATTGGAACTGTACTATGAACATAAAGATGTCTGTGTATATGACAGTCTTAAAAATTTGCTAATACTTGTTATTATTTACTTAAAAATATTTCTTGGAAAGACTACTAAATCAGAAAAGAACAGCTTGTCTGGTCTCAGAACCAATGACAAGAGAAGCAGCCAATGACTCTGAATACTCATTGGCACCTCTCCCATTCCTCCCAACAACTCAGCAGGGAGTTTGCCTGTGCTCTGATGTTGAGCCCCCTCCATTCCCTGACACAGTGGAACATATGCAGAGAACTTTAATGCATTGAGAGCTCTCAGTCACTTTCAAAAATGGATTAGATGTTTGGGCTGCCAATTGCATGCTTGCAAAGGGTCAATCATGGTTTTGTGTTTTATGTCTGGACTTAAAACTTCCCTAAGTGTAGGGAGTGGTAGAAGATGATTATTGACTTCATTTTATAAACAAGGAGACTGGAACACAGTCATTCAGTCCTTCAGTTTTCTTAACAAGTTGGTTTGCTTGCACAGTCATGGCTTTTGTATGAGCATTCCTAACCCAAACATCACTGCACTAACAGAAGGGAAGCCTTCTGCAGTCAGGGCACCAAGTGGGAGATCCTGTGCAGTTGGGAGCAGAAGGGCTTAGCAAGGCTATGCGGGTGGTATGTCTAGACTTAGCCCTCCTGCCTTTGCTAAGTCTCTTGTCTAAAGTTCTCAGCTGGGTGTAGATTCCCAGCTCCCTTTCTAGGACCGCCGCGAAGTCAGTGTCACCACCTGGGAGCACAAGTTTAGAACATCTGAATGTTTCCATAGTCCTCTTCTTTTTCCACACATGCACGATGTCCTTTGTCCCCTTCATACGACATTATTTTTGGAAACCTGGTCTCTTTTTGGTACCCACATAAGGTGCTCCCTTTCTTCAAAAATGTTCCCAGTCTGATGTTGTATATGGGGGCATGTGCTAACCAAGGTTTCTAGAACGTTCTCCTGCAGCATATCAAAAGAAAAATTGAAGAGATAAAAGAAATAGAGTGGACAGGTTACAGTTGTGATTTGAAGAAGAATTTTCAGAGACGATTTGAAAAACCTGCACTCGATTACTGGTCTGTAGCACTCGTGACCTCCCAGTCCCTGCTCCGCACCAGGACCTGTGTAACTGGATAGCTTCTTCCTCGGTGCTCTGTCTTCCTGTTTCTATCTGCTGTTGCAGGAATGGTCCTTTCAAAATTATACCCTTGACCTGCTTTGGCTGGCGCTTGTCTTCATTCCTGGAGTGGTCTGTCTGTTCTCAGTGTGTATATACATAACAAACACTCTTCCTTTCCCAACAGTGAAAGTTACCTACGTTTGTTTCTTACTGATGTTTGCATTATTTCTCTTTTCATGCCACAGAAGTAACCTTAAACCAAGTTATTATTATATGTCTTTGTCCTTTGACCTCTCTAAATCTCCTGACCTTTTGCACCTGAAGGTGGGCTTTCCTTTGTTCAGTTCTCTTCTGAGGTGTTGGAGAATACTTGGATTGACTGTCACCTCCTCTCAGGGTGTTTCTACTGCCACAGTGCCTCCTCTTTTTGATGCCATTTAGGTTCCATGATTTTATCTGGAGGCAGAAGTATCACTTGCAATAGAGGCCTGTCCGCTGTCACCCTACAAGTCCAGAGTCTGATGTACATCATATTTATATTTTCCTGTGTCTGTGCTCTTCTGTGTCCCTTGAACATTCCTTACAGAAACTGGTGGTTTTCTTGTCTCTGATTTCTGTATCATATATGAGCTGCAAAGCTGATCGAATTATTGGCAGTATCAGTTTCCTTGTCAGACTGATAAGTTTGTGCCTCTAAGCTGAACCCAACCAGCAAGACAGATGCTGGGACACAGGCTGGAGTCAGGGCCTAAGAATCAAACCAGTGAATGCTGACAAGAGGCAAGAGCAGACCCTGGAAGAAGAGTTGTGTTTTATCTTCCTTATATTAGACGTATCTTCAGAGTCAAGTGCCCACAGCCACTCCCTAATTCACATCACCCCTAACAGGCAATCAGAGCTTATATCTGCCTCTTGCATAGACGCTGCATAGTCCCCAGCTCTTACCAGTTCCAAATGCACGTCGCTTGAGAAGTCGGATGCCCTTATTCTCTGTTTCAGAGAGTTATTTGCCATGTTAGTAGCAGGATGGTGTTTTGTTCCCCACATCATTACCTGTTTTTTCCGGTCATTCTCATGATGCTTATAGACTTTGACATTTGGGGACCTTTTAAATGTAACTTGCTCTCTGTTTCTATTTTGCAGGAACTATCTCTTCAGATTACAGCTTGAAGATCTGTCTCTCATCCAGGTAGGTGCAATTTTTTATTTTATTTTTTTAGCTTTTGTTTTTCAAGTCAAGGAACTGAAAAGAGATGAAAGTTACAGGGTTCATTTCCTCAGTAGTCAAGCCCCAGGTCTCATAGCTGCCTTACCCCATGGGAGTCATCACCTCTCTCTTTTAATTTCCAGTTAGTCATTACCTCCTGGATGTGGTCTCTCCACTCCCTGGACATCATCATGACTTTCTCTTTATCAGGTGATAACAGTGCCAGGGACGTCCCTTGAGGCCTGGAAGCATCTCTTTCCTCTAGTGTGAGCAGGTGTTGATGCATCTAGTAGCTATCATGTTCTATGAAATATCCTCTTCTCCTTTGTTTATCATGACATCACAGTGGTTGTGTGGGTTAAAAGCCTCAGAAAGAGAAGAGAATATATTAACCTTTAAAAATGAAATTTGTTTCTGTTGCCACTTGGAGACTGAGCTTGGCGTCCTTGTGTTTATTTTAATAGAAGATCTGATCACTAAAGCTTCTTTTCTCGATCTATTCTCTTAGGAAAGTGTGCCAAGCAGGGTGTCCTGGGAGGGACAGTGAAGAATATGTTCATAATTTCCCTACCAGTGTTCCCAGGCTTTCTGCAGATTGTGTTGGAATCTCTGGGTTTTTAACAGTTGGTGGGGGAAAGGCTTTAAACAATTTTAATAATAGCCTAGTGTCCTAGGCTCTAAGGGGTTACTGGAGGGAAGCCGATCCTTTCCATCTAGAATGCTAGAGTGTGTGAACATTCCTGAGCACCAGAGCTAGAGTTTCAGATCAGATCCATCTCAAAATAAAACAAGTCCATAATCAGCTGATAGTGCTGTCCTTATCCCCAGACTTGTCATCTAGCTCCTGGCTTATTAGTAATTATCAGTTTCTTCATTGACAAAGTGGCCACAAATTACCTTAACCATATGCTATCCAGGTAAGAATGACCAAAATCTTTCAAAGGAGGGGATGCACAGCTATTTTTCCACAGTTGTATATAGCTTTTGCTTTTTTAAGTGATGACAATGGATAAATCTTTAATATAGTTTTATCGTGTTGGGCAACAAATTTCCTGCTTGCTGCAGTTTAGCATATCGCTTTAGCTGAGCTGACTGGTTGTAAAATTGAGAGTTTATTAATAAGCAGTTGGAATGATCAGCAAGCTACAGCCATGCTCTTAAGTTAAACAAAAGAGTCAGAAATACAGAGACTGAAGGATATCCCTTATTTGTATACCTGAAAATAACTGATTCAACGTAGCAGAAAAAGGAATGGTGGTTCCGGAAGGCTGGGAGGATGCAGAAGTGCTGGAAAGGCCTTAGCCAAAGTAGGCACAATCTCAGTTAGGCTGCAGGAATAACTCAGAGACACCTAGAGTACAGCTTCTTAAATGCAGTTTTAATAACTGCATTGTGTTTTAATACCTGTACTGTGTACTTTAAAATAGTCAAAACAGATTTTAAATGCTCTTTCCACAGAATAATAACAACTGTGTCAGGTAATGTACAGATTATGTAGCTTGAAGCTATTCCTCAATGTATGCACTTATAATACAATCATGTTGTATTTATAAATACATGCAATTTAATTTTTACTGAAAACCAAGCCATAGTTTAAAAGAAAAATTTAAGCAGAAGTTTATAAATTGTTATACATAATCTTATGGAATATAGACCATCCAGTGCACAATATGTTCATTTCTATTCTCATAGTGTCACACAGTATCTAGCTTCTCATCTGTGACACATGGGCTGTGAGCTGTGGAGATGCTCTGTCAGGACTGTTCCACTGCAGAGCCAATGTGATAAGGCGGAGTGGTGGCATCCACTTGTAATCTCAATGCTAGGGGACTGGAGTCAGGAGAATGAACCATTGGGCCTTGGCTGTCTGCCTGGAAAGTCTAGCCTACTTGATGAATTCCAGGTCTCCACTTAAAAATAAAAGGTGAATTGTGCTTGCAGTGGTCCCCCATCTCCCACGTGTATGTACATCTACCAAAGCATGGATTCTCATGGAATTGTGCATTTGTACACGTATGACTATGTACACACACTAACACAGGCACACCGTGGGTGTGCAAGTGTGTACAGAGAAACATGCAAGAAACAGGTGTGTTTCTTTCCTCCTTTCCTGACTCTCAGGGTTTGGGGGCTCTAGAAGTATTACATTCCAGGAAAGGGAACACAATTTACGAACAGAAGTCTCCACTGTGGGAAGCCAGTATTTCTAGGAGAAGCAATGATTCTAGGATAAAGAAAAGGCGGTATGAGGTCAGATCGAAGGAGCTAAGTTTAGAAAGGAGGGAGGTGTCTAAAGATGGATGATGATCTGGCAGGACAAGGGGGACCATCTGTGAGTGGGCTCCCTGCAGAAATGGAGAAATTGATTGCCAGGAGACTGTAAGAAGTAGCATATTATTGAGCATTGAGTCAGATAAGAATTAATGAGCATATGTTAGCATTAAAATAAAAAATTAAACAAAAAAGCCAACTAAAATATTGACAGAAAAGTCTAATAGAATGTTGGGATTGGCAACCATCACACTGAAAACTCCATGACATAAACACGCTCCTTGGGTGGTCAACTTATCAATCGTATTTGATGACATCCAAGATATTGACATTCTCATGACACTTATCAAAATTACAGTTATTTAGTGCATGTGAAAAACTTGCACTTTGACAGTGAAGAACCCTACTATGAACCTATGACCAAGCCATGTATCATGACTTTATTAGTAATGGACCAGATGTCTGTGATTTTTCACACTGAGGATGCTGCAGGGTTTCCATGACAACCCACCAAAAAATTATAACCAATCCCATCATACAGAAACATTACTCAAGCGCAAATAAACATCTTATAAAAATCTAGCTTTGACATTTCAAATATTACAATTATGTAATGTGTGTGTGTCTAAATAAAGTTGCTTCATCCAAAAAGAGAACACATAAATACATCTGTCAAGTATAATACTCCAAACTGATTCTTAAAGCTTACTCTTTTTCATGCTATAAGTGACACTTTTGAGACAACTCAAAAATTTGGTGATCAGTAGATAAGATAGAATCTTAATGTTTTATACATATGCAAATGTTAATCCCTTGACTTTTTTTTTGTAACTATGATGGTAAGAATTAAGGAAGAGAATGTCCTTATTATTTGGGAAACCACATCAAGTATGTAGGGTTGGTATACTTTGAATATGAAACCTCCTCTATAGTCTTATGCGTCTGGACAGTTGTCCTCAGCTGCAGGCACTGTTTGGGAAAGTTGTGGAATGTTTAGAGGTGGAGCCTTGCTGGAGGAAGAAAGTCAAAGCAATGGGCTGGGTGACAGGGTGGGGGTGGTGGGGGCTCTAGAAGCTGGCTCGGCTTTCTGGTCACTTTCTGCCTTTTGACCGTGAGTGCAGCACAACATGGCCTCCTGGCCACGCCCAGGGCTTCCCTGCGGGCTTCCCTGCCATGATCCACGATGGAATGTAGTTTTTTGAACTGTGAGCCAGAATGAAGACTGCCGCTTAGGTTTCATCGTGTTATGTAGTCCACCACAGCAAAATGGGAAACAACCAATCAAGGCATAACAGGCATCAGGTTTTTAAGTTACTCTTGAGCGACAAGTCATACGTGTGCAGTCGCTGCAAACACCAACAAAGTGGATACTTTGATAACATATTAAGGCAAAGTTGGAATAAAAATCACGAGTGTTCTTAACATTTCTTGATTTCATATCATAATGAATGCAGAGAGCTCCAGGCATGTAGTTACTGTGAAGCTGAGAAGAAGATGTTGCAAGGGCAAGGAGACTAATTGCCTTCCCAGCCATCACTTCTTTTGGCAGGACTACCGATGACAGGGTCACATGTAGGTCGCCCACAGCAGCCAACACGCTTACTGAAAAAGCTAAGCATCTCTGTCTCTCCACCTGGAGTACCCGTGGTCTGCTAACACTGACCGGGAAAACAGTGACATCTGAAAGGTGGTTTTCAAAACACAGTCCTGATAACAGGAGCCAAATACCACCCTCCACCACCACGAGCACACACCAAGCCTCCTGTCATGCCTTTGTGTCTGCAGGATTGTAGCATGCTGTTTATTTAGTGTTACTAGAGATAAAGCTAACAATTCTTTTCAACACTGTTTGTTTCTCATGTGTCCCCAGGAAACAGGTCTTGTTAAATTCCATGAATATTTTATTTTTATTTAAATGACTACTTCCAAGGGTGGAAAAATAATAATGGATTTAAACTTGCAAACAAAGGGTGGCACTGTTCTTATAAATGGGTCATCTGAGAGGACCTAGGATGGCTCAGCTGATAAAGACACTTGCTGCTCAACCCAAATAGCTGAGTTTGATCTCAGGAATCACATGGTAAATACACACACACACACACACACACACACACACACACACACACAAGAGAGAGAGAGAGAGAGAGAGGGAGAGGGAGAGAGAGAGAGAAAGAAAGAGAGAGAGAGAGAGAGAGAGAACAAGTGTCTGTGTGCGTACTAAAATAAAATGCAATATTCAGTCTTAGGTAACTCTAGATTATCTGCTAATCTCAGTGCAACAATAAGAAACTATGGGGAAAAGTTTTTCAGTCATGCATCTTATATTACCGTAGCCCAATATGACCGTTCTAACATAGGAACATTACAGGAAGTGACTGAGATATCCCAAATTCATTATTGGAAGTATCGAGGCTTGTTTGCATTTTGTGCCTCCAGCTTGCTTTGACTCATGGTTGTTTGCAGGTGTTCAGTGCTCCTGGAGGACGGTGCAGTGCAATTGTGAGGAGAAACAGGATGCTTACAGCTTCTGTGATTTCAGTTACTTTATACAAATATTATTTTCGGCTAGAGAGTATTGAGGTTTGAATTATATATCTTATTCCTCTCCTCTCCAAGGGTTTAACAAATCAGATAGTGTAAAAAGAGAATTGAGACCATGGAGGACACCAAACTTGAAAAGAAAAAAGTCAAAGTCAAGGGGACGCAGATGA